TTCTTCCCATTTGAAATTGTCATTGATGTTCTCAAAAATGATCAGAAGTTTAAGAATAACCTCTTTGTTCTCCTTCTTACTAAAGAGGGAGCCCAGCGAAGCTGGCACTTGCGCCCTGAGCAGTTCTCTAGTCATGGCTGGGTTTTCAGCCAGATTCAAAAGGAGTTTCAAAACCTGAAGTTTGGTTTCTTCATTTCCTGCTGAAAATAAGCGAAAGAAATCTGAAATGGAATCAGCAAGTATGTGCTGATACTCATTAGTAACAGTCATGTTTGTAAGCAATCTGAGTCCAGCCAGCTGCACAGATGAGTTCAATCGAGAAGTGACTGTGTCATCGCACACTTGATTCATGTATACCTTAAGCCTACGCTGATTTTCAGCGTTCACGCTCAAGTTATTTAGGACAATTAAAGCCTTTTCCTTCACGATGGGATCCCGCGTGTTGAGAATCTTTGCAACAATTGGGAGACCACCCAAATCCCGAATAATATCTCTGTTAAATGCATAAGCAGCATTATTACCTAGAGCAATTAAAGCTGCTTCAAGAATATAAGGCTTTTCAGACATCTCAACCAAACAAAGTACTTTTTGTAACTCTTGAGGGGACAAAACAGTATCATCTGAGTTAGGAGAAGCCCTTTTCTGGACAGCTCTCCGAGCCCTCGTAGCCCTGGCTCTGGCCCTGGCTCTAGCTCTGGTCCCTGCTTCAGTGCCAATCCGGGCCCAAGGTGGGTACCAAACGATACTCTTGCTCTCATTACTGTCATCATCATCATCAGACCAGTCATTATACCTGGTCCCAGAACAGTCCCCGGCATCATCCACATCAGCAGAGCCACCCTCGGCCATTTTCTCCTTGTTCTGCTTTCTTCCTCGGGCCAATCTGTAGATGCAGTAGCAGGCTCCAGCCCCAATCACCAGGCCTGCAGTCACCCAGCCTACTTTCCTGGCGTAGCCCATGCAATCGTCCCTGACAACGGCAGGGACCAGGAAATAGAGTGGCCACTCAAAATAGGGGAAGAGGGCTTCGGGCCTGAGTGCAGGCCTATGGAGAACGATCTTCTTCAGTCACTTCGAAGCTGCAGTCACTAGTTCTGGAGATAAACCTATAAAGGGAAGAAGAAAAGAGGGTTTGCCTTTCTCTTCTCTTTGTGCTGCCCCATGCAGACAAATGCCTGGAGGGGCAAGAAAGTAGGAATTGAATTCTGGATAGCGAACACAGATTGTTGACAAAAAGCTTTATCTCCTCATTTCAGTCTCTCCCTCCTGACCCCACCCCCAGTCACTCTTGCCTCTAAGCACAAAGTCAATTTGCATCCACAAATTTTGCTGGACTTTCATCTGTCAGAGGGGCCTGTGGTAGCCCCCATGGGATAAGCACCCTTATACTAACCTCCTGGGAACAAGCAGCTTGCCCCTTCTTCCTTGACTGTGAGGTGTTGCCACGCCCAACAATCTTTCTGCTCTGCAGAGATACCAGAAACAGTAAATAACGAGGGCTTGTTGCAGGCACTGTATATTTTATGCTTGCCTAATTTACCATCCAGGTTGTCAGATTTTTGATAAAGCCCCATTGTGCCATCCATCAAAAACACGCACAGACTTAGCCCCCTCCCTCGTCTGAAATGGGTGGGTGTAAGGAAATAAAGTAGGACTGAGTGAGCCTGACTAAACCCGGACTGACTGATTTCGAACCCCTCCTCCATTCCAGGCTACCCCCACGCCCACACCGACCTCCACTGATGGAGGGGGAAAGTTCCTCCCTTGCTTCAAGCAGTGCCACCTGCTACAGCAGACCTGCAGGATGACAGATCGAAAACATGGACACGAAGTGCTGTTGAAAGAGAAGGATTATGAACAAACTATCTGATAGGTTTTCCTGCCGTTATCCCGCCCCCACCCCTCCCCCCC